TCACTTCCTGTGGCGCAGGTTTTGCTCCAAAAGCTCGCGCATATAGGCTTCCATTAAATGCTGATTATCTCGATAACAAGCTCGGGACTCCCAATTTTTCTTTCCAGATTTGGAATCAGCATTAAATTTCAATTCGGAAAGTCGAAGTTTAAAAAAAGTTTAAATCGTTCTCTAAAAGTAGGCAGTCAACTTTGAAGGGAACTGTTGGCAGCATTATGTGGTAAACAGTCATTCAAGTGACCTCTGACTTGGAGATATGCACAGCGGTAGAGGGCCCTGGGGAGGAAGTTAAAAAAGTATCCTGACCAACGAGAACAGAGCACRTAGTTAGATTCTAAAAAAATCAAATTCTTTGTGTTTCACTACACGACTTTTCCTTTCTCACTTTCAGGGTGTAAAACTGCGAAAATTGTTCTTTAATAACTCTTGTTTACAACTCTAAACTACATCTCTCAAAACCCAAAAAAGTATTAAAGGCCAATAACCGCTGACGAATCTGCAAGGGAAAACATTACTGAATCTTGTGTACTTCTCGTCTTGTCTGCACMATGAAACTAATCTGCGCTAACCTGCCTAAAACTGGCACCAAATCCATCGCTGRTGCSYTGAGGATTCTTGGTTATCGGGTTTGGGACTTCGACGAACAGGTGTTGTTTTACATGGACGAATGGCTCGAGTTGTTCGAACATGGCAAGCCACTTGATTTCTATTCCATGTTCAAGGACGTGGACGTTGTCATTGATTTTCCCAGTACATTCTTCTTCGAAGAAATCATGGAAGCATTTCCTGACGCTAAAGTTATTCTATCGGAACGAGACGAGGACGCTTGGGCTAGAAGTTATAAGAACATGATTGAAATCGTGGAAACCTCTTATCTATCGAAACTGCGTCTTTTGTTTCCAACTTACAATAAATTTTGRCATATTATGCGCAAAGGCCGAATGGCATCGCTTGGAGTTACTCATCCAAGTTCTTCATATATCTATCGTAAGCGATATCGCTGGCACAACGATCGTGTCAAGTCAGTTGTGCCTAAAGAAAAGCTGCTTGTGTACCGTGTTGATCAAGGATGGAAGCCCTTGTGTGAGTTCACGGGAAAGGAGATTCCAGACCAGCCATTTCCACATATGAATGTCAAGGGGTCGTATTTTAAGGAGTTTCAAACCAAAACTGAATTGGGAAGAAGAATTGTTGCCGAGGTGAATCAGGTGGTCATCTTTTGTKCTGTAGTGGTGGTTGTACTTGCTGGACTGCTCTTGATGGCTTTTTGTTAACTATAGAACCTTTCTTTTTTAAAGTGAACCGTTCAACAATCCTTTCAGTATTGGTTCTAGATGAAGCAAATAGTTGAATGGTAAAATATTTCTAGATTTAATTAATAACGATAATGATAATATAAAGTTTTTAACAAACGCATCATACGACGTCTCGATGCTTTTTACAAAAGCACCAGACGAATATCAAGTTTGTGGAAAAAATTGCAAAAAAGAAAAACCAAAAAAAACCCAGTTACTCCTGGTGAACAGGTAGTGTTTTAGTGCAGACTCTGGAACTGAACTTCAGTACTTAATTGCATCAGGGAGATTATTCCAGAGTGCCGGTACAGCCAAAGCGAAGGTTCTTTTTCCAAACGTTGATGTCTTGGAGTCAAAATCAAAAATTCAAAAAAAAAAATTAAATATACAAATAGCATCATTAGTTTTCTCATGGCTTACATGAAAACTATTTCAAATTTGTTTTCTCATAAAGGCCAGGATTTAGTAGGCTAATAATAAAAGCGATAAACATTGATGTATGTTTATAAGATCAAGTGAAGGAAGAAATAAAAACGATAAATGATTATAATGAAAATAAACTTAAAACATAAAAAAGAAAAGTTGTTTTGCTTTCTAATTGTTTAATAATACGTAAAAAATGAAGCCATATTCGATCTGGTATCCAAAAACCACTGAAGAGAGTGTTATTGTTTGCATAAAAGAGAGCAATGAATCTACAGGAACATATAGGAAAATGAGAAGAGGCCGTTTAATGAAAGAGTTGTCTCGGTTAGGCGACTGTTAAAGTGTTCACATGGGGAAAAGTTGTCCCGGCTACCAGGGTCACCCTCTTTCACAAAGAGAGTAACACTACCAGTAGGGTGACACTTATAGCCGAGGCAAAATAAAATATCTCACGTAAACGATCGAGATGGATTTACAAAGAAAATAGGGAGAAGTTCAGCTCGCCCAGGGTAGCTCGAGTAAGTGGGTACTTCTACCAGGGACAAAGTCTCCATGTAAACGACCCCTAAGAGGCAATGCTTATTTTTATTCTTTTTTCCCTTTTGCTTAACATTCAAACTTTTATTTATTTTTACACTTGAATGAATGTTAAAGGTGGTATTACAGGGGACACCTTGCAACGCCGATTTTTCGTGTAAGGCTATTGCGCCATTTTGTGTGTGGRTTTTTTGCGACATGTTACACGGGAACAACTTTTCGCGCAACATTTACTTTAGTATTCAGTCCACGCGCTGCCAACTCACTCACGGCTAACTTTTTTCTTCTTTTCTTGCTTTTATCATTTTTTATCAACTCCAAAAGTTTCATCTTATCCGTTTCATTAGGTTTAGACAATCGTTGCAGTTGCTGTACTGTTCAAACTTACTTCTTCTACAGTCGGCGCCATTTTGTTGCGCGTCAAATCGGCGATGGACGTGTTACACACATCGATTAGCTGAAAATTCKTCATCTTGTGTTGCAAGTTTTTGAAGCCAGATCAAAAACTTGCAACGTGTTGCTGAGTGAAATATTGCGCGAAAAATCGTCCTCGGCGCTATGTTACACGGCAACGATTTTTCGTGCAATAGTGTGGCGCGAAAAATCGATCGGCGTTGCAAGTTGGCCCGTGTAACACCACCTTAAGGTGGCTGCTTACTTTTGAACGTTCGATTTGAGCCCACGATGTGCGCGAGCTCAAAACCCGCTAAAAAGTCTACAAGATTTTATTGAAGAGCCATACGCGTTTTGAGCTTCAACAGGGCAAAACCCTCAAATTTTGCACGGGACTCTCTATTCTTTAATAGCTCATACGAATAAACTTCTAAAAATCTAGGTTATATCAACATTTTAGAAAAAGTTTATATTTCTAACGCATGAAAAAATAGATTTTTGTAGGGATTTTTGTTCGACTTTATGAGATTTTTTAAGAGCACCGAAACTACAAAATATGACAAATATCTATGTATTATTGTAGAATGATTGACTAGCCGTCATTCGTGCAATCATATAGTCTGCAAATAAGTATTATCTTATGAATCTTAAATTTTTTTCTAATCAATTCCGGTGGCGCAAAAAGTTGAAAGTATTCTGACCAATGAGAACAGAGCACGTAGTTAGATTCTAAAAAAGTTAAATTCTTTGTGTTTCACTACACGACTTTTCCTTTCTCACTTTCAGGGTGTAAAACTGCGAAAATAGTTCTTTAATAGCTCTTGWTTACAACTCTAAACTACATCTCTCAAAACCACCGCTGACGAATCTACAAGGGGAAACATTACTGAATCTTGTGTACTTCTCGTCTTGTCTGCACA